GGGGCGGGGGCGGGAGCGGGAGCGGGACCGCTTTCCTCCTGCTGATCCCTGACACCGCCTTTGAGGCAGGGTGGGGGTGAGAGCGGGATCGTGACCGCTCTCCTCCTGATGATCCCTGACACCGCCCCTGCGGCGGGGTGGGGGTGAGAGAGCGGGATCGTGACAGCTCTCCTCTCCGTGCGGAATCCCGGTGCCGCCCGTGCGGCGAGGCGAGAGTGAGAGGTCGACCTGGCGCCGCCCTCAGTCGGCCGGCCAACAGCAGTGCCTGGGGTGGAGAGTTAGCGCATCGGGAAAGGCACGGCCAGTCCGGCGAGCTCGGCAGCTTTGGTGCGTAACTCTTGGGGTATCACTAACCGATGGTGATGTCCTCAGGAGTCCGTTGGTTTTTATGTCTGAATTCGCTTTATTCCCGCACCTGCTTTGGATCACACATGTGTTGACTCGTAAAACGCTTTAAAAACGTGAACTGTTTGGGAGGCATCGTGGAAAGTGTGCAAGAAGTCACTTGGCGTCAAACAAGACGTCCAACGTTGTATGATGCGCTACGAACGCCACTAGCAGGCTTGCTCGATTATGAAAGAAAAATGTCACTTGTAAAGCTCCCTTGCGGTAAAGTATGGCCTCTGACAACGAGGCAGCGTATGGTCAACAGGGACTGGAGGCTTTTCCATTGATGAAACTTGAAAGTTGCCGAAGAATTCCCCCTGGCATCTGTGCTCTCAAGCACCGTAGCTTTCACTGGCGCCCCATCGAGCTTACTATTGAACATGAGTGGATGACTGGACAATTGCACCGCACGAAAAACTTTTAAGGGTGCGTTGCTCACATGAAACTAATCAAAGGTATTCAAATTGAATAAGTCCGGACACAGCCAACGGCTCGTGGTCAAGTTTGGATCGTTTACAGAGCTTTACCACATGCAATTTAAATTCATTGTCCGCCGCATATCGCGAATTATTGCATAGTTAGCATGACAAAGTAGCCAAAAAATTGATAACATCCCACCTATCATTTATCTAGCAGATCCACAGCATGCGAGTTCTAGGCTTTTAATTCGTCTTATGGTTTCTGCAATGTTGCAATTGCAGTATTGTTATTTGCTTCGCTGGAACTACGTCGTTGTTGAAACTAATTCGTATGCTGCTGAAAAACAAGTTCGAAAAATTAATCTAACAAACATGTACACAAACAATTTGTGATAGAATGACTGCCCAACAACACATGGCAAATATACCGTGCCGCGAATATGTCTATGTATAACGTACCTCGTTTGCTACGTGTGTACATCTGTGCCGCGTGTTTGTTATTCTGATACGTGTCACTCCATTATTGAAGTTCACGAAACATCCAACAGGTGTCATGAGCACCCGCACGTACGGGCAGAATCTTCCATCGGAGATTTGACACGGGGTCAGGAGGACAAGCGTGTGAGACGCCACGAGCGTCAACTACCTTTTAAGCTGTGCTCCTCTCTGGGCAGGTGCGGCAGGACCTGTTAGGTCGAGTCGAAACCGAGACCTAACATAACTTCACGAACAGAGGTGGAGGGAACATGATGTCTACTATCGGATGCCGGATTGATTAGACTGCAGGTCGGACCGATCAACAGAAAAACGTGCACGAACTTTCGGAGTAGCTGTCTTTGTAGCATTACAAACCTCCTTCTGTGGGGAACTAAGGGATGGATAACATCAATGCGCGCCAATATTATGCCAGCATTCCCTTCATGGTCATTCCCAGACAGAAAATGAGGGCATTTAATAAAACAAATGCATCATATAACCAATGAATATTGCATTCACATAACATTCTGAGTTAGATATATGCTATATGAACATAATACAATTTCTTCTAGTATTAATCATCGCATGAAAACCAGTGATTCCCTGTAATATTCGACGATGGTGCCATTACGCTATAAACATGCAGCTATTCCAATTCAGGGGCTAGAATCGCTCTATTTTTCCCTTAGGCAGAATATCACTGATACTATGCACTCGAAATCAAACGAGTTGACCTTTTCGCGTCTTGCCTGGATAAAAATTTCACTTGCGGCTATGTACTCGCATGCTATTTGTTCCGGTGTCTAGGCAAATAAATCACGAAATTTTGTCCCTGCGCACGCAAGCTGGCACTGAATTTGCGCATAACACGCGTGCATAGCTTTCAGCTGCAGATGTCCATCTCGGAAGAATTGAGGGCTTTGCCATCGAAACTTTTTGGTGCCAGCTCGTACAACGACCTGTTTTCGGCGCGCTCAGGGCAATTGACCTCAACAATGAGGTCCTTGCTGACAATAACATCGGGTGTGGCCGCCAGAAATGGATGACGTTTGTGAACAATCATCCCGACAGGCATCGTCACATTCGTGTTGGTGTGCTTCTCATGCTGCTGTAGGGCCTACTCCTCACTGACACGGCTTCATTGGCAACGACAGTAATGTATGGGGGGGGGGGGGGGGCACAGGAGGCCTGCTCCCCCATTCGTCTCCGAGGCCCCTTCGCGCCCCTCGGGACCGACGATTAAGGCCCAACTTTGAGGCCCAGAGGGCCCGAAAGGCCGGCCAGAGGTCACATTCAGGGGCCCTGTCCCGCACGGCCGAGCACTCCAATGCAAGACAGAGGGCCGTTCGCGCCGATCTGGGTCTCCCGGAGTCGATGAGGGCCTAGCATATCGGCCAGGCACTACCTGTACCGCACTGTCGGATTCGTCTCGGCATGGGTCTGAGGGCCTTTTTCCCAACCAGGGACAAAGTCGGGGCTGGCGTCAACTTCTTGCGTCAATGAGGGTTCTTGCGTTGATCCGGGGCCAACTGCAAAGGTCAGAAGGCCTCCCGCATCAGGGAGAGGACCAATGTGACATGAAATGTTCTTCCAAGGGTCTCCGAATCGACCAGGGCACCCAGGGCATGTAGTCAGAATGACAGTCGGGGCCATCCCGCGCTAGGACGGAATGACCCTTCAGCGTTTGACCGGGAACGATAACGTGCCCCTAGTATTCTACTCAAGGGGCCCCTTGCCCGAAAAAGAGCAAGGTGTCTCATCAGTGTTGAAAATATTACGTCGAAATATGGTAAGTTTACCTGGGAACACAAAGTGGTGAGCCGGTGCACTCACAATGTCGGGAGCAAGAGCACTTATGGTCGGGGTCGGGGTTTCCGCTGAACCGAACGGCGTTGGCCGCTGCAGAAACACCAGGCGATGGGCGCAGTACACGCGAGAACGACCATTGTTGAATGATGCTTCCGAAATCTTTGAAAATAATTCCGTACCGTTTAAAGATTGGACTCGGGTGTATATTTTTATACATTTTTTAGGATGTCCTCCAGGCGTTTTAACAGCTAAAGCAACACAAAAAACAGAAATTCTGTCTTCCCCTCACAGGCCCAGCTCCAGATTTTCGGCCGCCTGTTTACCAGCACTTAGTGCTAGCTGCGGGGCCGATAAAGTGCAGCCTGCGGAGACTGCAGTACTGGGTGTCGAGGTTCTGTTGGTTGAATTTGCTATCGTGCATGCTCAAACTAGGTTACGTTATTTTTCTCACCAATCGATTCTAAGTGAGAGCTGAAAATTTACACACAGGCACGGGTTGGTCATGTTAAGACAAGTTTTGACCCATTCGATCTACAATTCACCTTCCGCAACATCTCTGTAGAATCTAGGTCAAAATTCTGGTTACGCGTCTGAGTTCTATCGGTTTAGTGGACGCCAATTAATCGTTGTAAAATTAAGGGCGGTGGCGATTTGTTCCACTAATGCGTTTAAAATCTAATTTCAGCAATTTATTGCCTTTAGAATTCAGGCAGAATTGATAACGTAATAGCTTCCACTTTCTTTTCCAGTTACAGAAGGTAAAATAATAATTAAACAAATAAGACTGTGCTCATCATCAACCAGAAGGTCACATCCGACGACTTTTTTTGGGCATTGCCTTTTATCAACGCTATGTCCCTTTCCTTGCCAAGGTTCTGGTGGCGTCCCTACGGCGGCCATGCTGCGGCGCTGGAGTGTCTGCGTCCCTGCTGATGTCATATGACAGGCGATTCATGACGTTCTTGTGTGATATGGAGTCGCGCATGCTTGAAATCTCATGGAGGGTAGTACCCACAATGCGTTTTGACGTCCCCGAAGCAAACGTACTCGGTCATCCCGCGTCTCTTGGGTGATATTTGAGCATTTAGCAGTGGTTTTGCTAAAGCTGACACAAAACTTCATATTTTTCAACATTTCGCTCAGAATTGTGAGTTTTCAGGTCTGCAGCATGGCAAGCCGGATCGCAGTGGCTATTTGCCCCAGGCAAGAAATAACGAATGTGGGGGCCAGCCCGTTTGGCGGGGTCTTCGCTGCGAATCGTGCGTGCCAAGCGAGAGGCATGAACGTAATTTTTGAGAATTTTGGATCAGTTTATAGGACGCACCTTTTTTAAAAGTCACAGCTGCGACGGCTCAAATCATTTGATATCCCCGCATTTGGTAATGACTGACCCATTTGCCACCAAGTGTTTTGGCGATTTGTTTTTGCAGGTTTTCTTGATGAAAAGCATTTGTTTTCGATTTAAGAAACGTCTATTCTTCATCCAAGCGTCTCTGGAGTTTGGAATAATGGTGGATGCAGACATAAACATCCATCTAAATGTCCCGGTGACATCTATCCACCACATAATGCCGGCCGCTGTTCCGTATTTCCCTCAGGCCTACTGCTGTGTCCAGGGCAGAGAACGTGTTCTGCCCATCCTCATCTAACGTGACGTTATCGAGTCTTCTGCGGTGCTCGGCACTACCGACAGGCCGCCGGCGAAGTGGCGCGGTCTGACCAGACTTGTGTTGCAGGGCTGTGCGGGGTCGGCCCGACTGAACGCCAGCAGCGAGCGTCCGCTGGTCACCGCGTGCCAGACGCCCACCATCTGTCTCGGCCGCCTCCGCCACGCTGGACATCTGGACGAGCGCGATCGGCTGGCGCCCTGCCCCGGGGCCGCTGGGGCCGCCACCGCCACCGCCCCGCATGCTCGACCTGCTCCTCTTCTGCGCCTCCGTCGCCGTCGGCTTCTATCTCTTCTACTGGTACCGGAGCGACCTGGCGCGCGCCGCAGAGGCGCGCCAGCGCGTCTGCGCGCGCCGCCAGGCCGACGACCAGCGGCGCGCGGCGCGCTTCCGCCAGCTGGCGCGCGCGGGCGGCACGCCGCGGCCCGGCTTCCAGTCGATCCAGGACAGCTTCCAAAGCCACGGCGACCTGATGCGCGCCATCCGCCGCTGCGGCCTGCGCCGCCTGCGCACCGTACTCGGCGTCGACTTCAGCGCCAGCAACGAGTGGCAGGGAAACCGCACCTTCGGCCATCAGTGCCTGCACCGCGTGGTGGCGCTCAAGCCGAGCAACCCGTACCAGCGGGCTATCCAGGCGGTGGGCCGCGCGCTCGAGCCGCTGCTCGACGGCGGTGACGTGTTCGCCTACGGCTTCGGCGACGCCACCAGCCGGGACGCGGGCGTGTTCCCGCTGCGGCCGGACGGCCGGGCGTGCGTCGGCTTCCGCGACGCGCTCAGCAGCTACTCAGCGGCGGCGCGCGGCCGCGTGCTGGCCGGCCCAACCAGCCTCCGGCCGCTGATCGAGCGGGCCGTGCAGCACGCGCGCCAGGCGGGCCCGGCCGAGCTCACGCTGCTGGTGGTCGTGTCTGACGGCCAGCTGCCGGCCGCCGACGACACGATCGCCGCGCTCGTCGACGCGTCGGCGCACCCGCTCTCTGTCGTGCTGGTCGGCGTCGGCGACGGACCGTGGGACACCATGGAGGCGCTCGACGACTTCGTGCCGGCGCGGCGCTTCGACAACTTCCAGTTCGTCGACTTCAACCAGGCGTGCGCGCCGGGCGGCGGCGGCGAGCTCGTGTTCGCCATGCACCTGCTCATGGAGGTGCCCGAACACTTCCGGCTGCTCTGCGAGCGGGGCTGCATCCGGCCGCGGCGTCATCCGGCGGCCAGCGCCGCCGCCTCGCTGGGGGCCGAGCCGCGGCGCCTCGCGCCAGCCCCGGCCGCCGCGCCGCCGGAGCCGGAAGCGCCGCGGCCGTCGGACGCACCGCACGGCTGGCCGCGTGTCGTGCGAGTCGAGAGCTCGCCGACGCGCATCATCGCCGGCGACCCGACGCCGCGGCTCCGACGCAAGGTCATGTCGCTGCGGTAGCGTCGGCGGCCGGCGGTCAAGGGAGGTCATTCCATCGGCTGCGGAGGGACCGCCCGTCGCGCCGAGCGCCGGCCGCCGGCGCGCCGCGCGGCGCCGTAACCGATGGCCGTCAGAGTATGGCCTGCGTACAGTCTCGTGCTGCGCTGCAGCTCTCCGATAAGCATGCTGTGAAACTGAGCAGAAACAGATGTAGGACTTCTAGACATATCAGGTTGGGTGATAATATCTGTTTGCTGGCACGTATGCGTGAGCCCGCTGGAGCGGAGCTCGCAGTCGACTCTCGCTATTGACTCACTCGTTCTTGGTGTTGTGATCGACATCCGTGGATTCTTCCCGTCCACGCCTAGCTAGTTTCCTGTTCTAAGAGTTTATCTTTTGGAAGGTGTGAACATTTCAGCTCTCGTTCCAGACATTCTAGGAACGATATTGAATTCCATTAGACCTTATTCCCAAGCTTTCAAAGTCAGAACCAAGCGCCCTCGACGGCTTCCAACCCTTAACTGAAACTCATTTGTAGAACTCGCTTCCGATGCCCAGTTCACGCTGTCTCTCGTATCCGGGTAATTGCTATTCTGAGGCCCCTCTCGAGATTGCTACACGGCAAACTTTCAGCCCGCCATCAAAATCCCGCCGGGTTATTCAAATTCGGCGAACCGATAAGGCGCACGTGAGGCGCATGACTCTGGACCGGGTTGGACTAGAGCCTCCGGCAATCGCCGTGTCTGGCCGGCGGGGAGAGAAGGATCGGCTTCTGGATGCAGCAGTTAGGGTGCTGGCATACGGGCGGTCTCAAATAGGGCAGAGTTCCGGCGCTGCGATGCCATCTGGTAATGCGCGTCTCTGTAGACAGATCACAGTTAACAGCGGGAGGACGTAACCAGGACGGGTCGAGATGGCTTATTTTGGTCGACTACACGGGAAGTTTGTAAAAGTTGTGAGATCTTTTGCCTCTCCCCCACCCCGTGGAGTCATCCAGAATGAGACATTCATTCGTTCTAGTTATGTTCGCATAGAATCTTACGGTGACATTTCTTTTCCAAACAACCTGGGTTAAAATAGGCTCTATTTAGACATTGTGGAAGGGAAAAATATAACTGTATTTTCGACATTTCTCGCTTTACCTGTTTTCCATGCATCCTATATCTATAGCAGTTGAAGAATATTTGTGATTATACTTCCAACCAAACAGTCCAACCAAACGCGCAACAATCAGAATAGCCATCAGCGTCATAACCCACAGGATTTAAGTATCCAGTAGCGACAAGTGCCCAGACCACTGATGACGCGCGTCACTACGTAGTCGAGGTGGTCAGGGCGACAAAGCAGCGAGGCCCTGCACGGCCTCTTCCAGTCCCAACAGGATCCATGGCCTGTCAGATCATTTTTCGCAAGACTCAGTTGCGTCTTACTCATAGGCAGCGACAGAGCGACGTTCAGTGATCCAAACGTAGTTAAGTTCACGCTGTCTCTCGTGTCCGGGTACTTACTATTCTGAGGCCTTCTCTCGAGATTGTTACACGGCAAACTTTCGGGCCGCGATCCAAAGCCCGCCGGGTTATTCAGCGACGTCCAAACTGATCTCGCACTTAGTTCTGGTTACAACATTCGCATTCTGGTGGCAGCCAAGAACACACCTTTCAACCCAAACCAGCAGCCCTCCCCGCCCAGCTTGCTCGGGTCGAGCCGAATGCGTGATCTCAGTGTGGTAGCCGAGTATGTTGTCTGCGTTGTCCGGCCGTGGTGGCCTGACAGGGGGCTGTGATATGTAACTACAGTGCGCGACTCCGGCATTCCTGCATGTAGTCTAGACGTTGGTCCAGTGCCCGTTACAACACGTGACGCGGCGGCTCGGTCTTTCATTCCGTCCAATACAACATATTACGATTACGCATCGCCTGCCCGACGACTCTTATCTACAAAACCGAGGACGCGACGGCAGGCATATATTGTACAGGGACAGCGCTGAATCAAGTGAGAACGGTGGTGATATGTGGAAATAAACACACGCGGATAGCTCCTGCACCAACTCGGCTGGCAAATCAACGGCGAGCGTCATCACACGCATCCGTCGAGCTGGGAGCAGCCGGCCGCCGGCCCGTGCTAGCCTGCGGGGGCGGCCGGTCGACTGACAGACGGCCTTCACACACGCACGGAGACGCGGCCCGGCGACGGGAACCTCGGCTGGCTCTCCAGCGCTCGCGTGCAGCCGCCGGCGCCGGAAGGACGTGCTTCCGGCACCGCGCTGCGGACTAGATCAACATTTGGTCAGAACACTACCGGCTACCGGGCGGTGCACGGCGCCACGGCTGACGCTATAGAAGGTCCTGAGAGGCGCGGTGCGCGCGCGCACGACTGGTGCTGGCGGGCAAGTGTCAGATCTGCCGGGGTGGGGAGGGATCACAGCCGGGGGCGGGCGGGAGGCGGCGCGCGGCCTCCCGCTAGGTCTCGAAGTGCTTGTAGATGGACGTGACGTAGGCGAGCACCTGCTGCCAGTCGGGCCGATCCTGTGACACCATGTCATTGGTGTTCTGCAACGGGAGGACAGGGTCAGCGGACGGTGACATGACACGGGAGGACAGGGTCAGCGGACGGTGACATGACACGGAAGGACAGGGTCAGCGGACGGTGACATGACAGGGCGGGGACAGGACAGGACATGACGCCGGTGCGGGTGGGTCACTGGCGTCACACACACACACACACACACACACACACACACACACACACACACACACACACACACACACACACACACACACACACACACACACACACACACACACACACACACACACACACACACACACACACACACACACACACACACACACACACACACACACACACACACACACACACACACACACACACACACACACACGCACGCACGCACGCACGCACGACGCACGCACGCACGCACGCACGCACGCACGCACGCACGCAGCCGACGCACGCAACGCAACGCACGCACGCACGCACGCACGCACGCACGCACGCACGCACGCACGCACGCACGACACAGACCACAGACGCAGGCGACAAGGCGCTCACGCACATTCCACTCACCAGTGGGCACCAGCATCAAAACCGAGGGTGGTGGAAGGCGCACAACACAAACAAGCTGAAACGCATCGGGAATACCAATGGACCGTTGGTAGTGTGCAAGGTGAGGGGAAAACTATGGCAGGGAAAATGGATGAAAAACGGGAGACAAGCTAAGCGGGGATATGAGTAACAGGGATCAAGGCGCGAAATGAAAAAGGGAATATTTGTAGGACACAACAACGCTGTTGAGAAAAAGAAACGGGACATGGAGGGCAACTGTGCGAGAAGAGAGAAACTCGAGAGTTAAGGACGGCGAGAGAGAGAGAGAGAGAGAGAGAGAGAGAGAGAGAGAGAGAGAGAGAGAGAGAGAGAGAGAGAGAGAGAGAGAGAGAGAGAGAGAGAGAGAGAGGAGAGAGAGAGAGAGAGAGAGAGAGAGAGAGAGAGAGAGAGAGAGAGAGAGAGAGAGAGAGAGAGAGAGAGAGAGAGAGAGAGAGAGAGAGAGAGAGAGAGAGAGAGAGAGAGAGAGAGAGAGAGAGAGAGAGAGAGAGAGGAGAGAGAGAGAGAGAGAGAGAGAGAGAGAGAGAGAGAGAGAGAGAGAGAGAGAGAGAGAGAGATGAGGAGAGAGAGAGAGAGAGAGAGAGAGAGAGAGAGAAGCAGCGACAGACCATTGGGGCCGGCGCGCCTCCGGCCGGCTCAATCACCAGCGACAGGCGACCTTTGGCCGACCAATTATTGGCCGCGCCCACCTCCCGTCGGGGAGCAGCCGCCGTCTGGCGTCGCCCGTATGACTGCACCATGCCACGCCGGTGTAAGGCCAGCTCAGGACCAACGCCGGCCAGGTCAGCAGACCGCGCTGGCGAGCCTCGACCGTCCTCCAGCAGGCGGCCTGCACGCAGGCAGCGCGGAACACCACACCATACCCCAAATGCATTATGCGTCTGCCTGAATTGCTATATGCTCTTCTGTGCATAACCTTGTGAACTCGGGTCTGAGCTCGGACCTCACCCCTTCAAACGGGCAAGCAGCGCCTGCCTGGCCCCGAGCGCAGCCCTGCGTATGATCCCAGGTACAGCCCTGTGTACGGCCCCGGGTGCAGCCCTGCGTATGATCCCAGGTACAGGCCAGTATACGGCCCCGGTTGCAGCCCTGCGTATGATCCCAGGTACAGCCCAGTGTACGGCGCCGGGCGCAGCCCTGCGTATGATCCCAGGTACAGCCCAGTGTACCACGGCGCACTCGCTGCTCCCGAGCCGAGTGGCTGCCTGGTTGGCCCAATGAGTCGACCAGGGCACAGCCTGCAACTACGCAGCACCACCTTCGGCGCGGCACAGTCTGCCCGCCCGGCGGAGAGACAGCGTGGACTGCCGGGTCAGTCCAGAGCCGGTGCCGCGCCCGCCTCTCCCTCCTCCCCCACATTCCCCCCTGCCCCTTCCCAACGTCTGCTCATGAGAGCACCAGCTCCATCGACAATGCCTTGGCCGGCGCCTCGGCGCGCCGGCCGGCGGGGAGGGGCGGAGCGACAGCTTTCCTCTCCCCAGACGAACCAGCGGAGATGGAGCATCACCGACAGGCCTCTCCCAACACCGGGAAACGGGAGGCAAGTTTGGCTTAGGTACGACGTGGCACGACAACACAACAGAGTGGGAGTGAGATCGAGTTTGGTTCGGTACAGCGCGCGCGGCACGAAGGAATGGGAGCGGTTTGCTGTCGTGTGGTGGAGGTGGGCCTGCAGCTCCATTCAGTGCCGTGCCAGTGGACGGAAGAATGAATATGCTGCAGCACATCGCAGGCGGCTCGGCAGAGTGCGAATGGGTTCGCTGCAGTATGAGCCGGGCGGGTAGGAGTGAGTCCGCTACGGTACGACGCATGTGGGACGGAGAGGTCAGGTCACTCTGCCGGTGTCCGGACCGATTCGATGTCTGTCCGGCAGTGGCACGTGAGGTCCGCGCAGTCTGCAGCCAGCTCAGCGGTGTGGCAGCGCTCGCGCTCCGCTCCGCAGTACTCGCCCCCTCACTCCCACCCTGCCGCCATCTGATACGCCGTTCAAACAAGCGCCGGCCAGATAGGGCCACTATCGGCCCGGACAGGCCCTGGAGCGGCAGCGGGGGAGGCGCCGAGACTCCCCCTCCCTCCCGCCCCGCTGTCAGCGACGGTCGGCAGGCGCCACAGCGGCTGCAGGCCGGGGCCGGGACCCCGTGTAGCCCGACCTGGCCGGGAGGAGGACTGGTGTGGCGGCGCCTGTCGATCGATGTGGCACCGAACTCGAGCACCGGTCGGCCGGCCGGCCACGCCGGGGTCGGACAATGCCCCCCCCCCCCGCGGCCCGCTGTCGGCCGCGGCACTGTTCAGAGGCAGAGGCGAGTTTACAGAGCGCTCGACTATTCAGCGTCGCATGACGCCACATCGACCGACGCCCAGCGGACCAGTCAATAGCGGCACCGACTTCACGGGATGACCTCGGACCGCGCGGCGAGCCATGAGCGTGCCGTTCCCAGCCGACGGCCGACGCCGAGCGCCGCCAGACCGGACCACCACCTGCCCACGCGGCCTGCCATGAGCGTGCCGCTTCCAGCGGCGGCCGACGCCGAGCACCGCCAGACCAGACCACCACCGGCGCACGCGGCCAGCCATGAGCGTGCCGCTTCCAGCGGCGGCCGACGTCGGGCACCGCCAGACCGGACCACCACCGGCCCACGCGGCCTGCCGCAGCCAGCAGCCGCTCCCAGCCGGTGGCCGACGCCGAGCGCCGCCAGACCGGACCACCACCGGCCCACGCGGCCAGCCATGAGCGTGCCGCTCCCAGCCGGTGGCCGACGCCGAGCGCCGCCAGACCGGACCACCACCGGCCCACGCGGCCAGCCATGAGCGTGCCGCTCCCAGCCGGTGGCAGACGCCGAGCACCGCCAGACCAGACCACCACCGGCCCACGCGGCCAGCCATGAGCGTGCCGCTCCCCAGCCGGTGGCAGACGCCGAGCACCGCCAGACCGGACCACCACCGGCCCACGCGGCCTGCCATGAGCGTGCCGCTCCCAGCCGGTGGCAGACGCCGAGCACCGCCAGACCAGACCACCACCGGCCCACGCGGCCTGCCGCAGCCAGCAGCTGCTGTCAGAGCAGTGCCGACTGATGACGAGAACAAGCCGCCGTCCCGCGCGATCCGCCCACATTTACGCGTCCGGCTGATCGAGCCGCAGCGCAGCTGGCTACGATTCTCCACATTATCCCAGTGCAGCTTCGCATCAGTTACAATCACTTTCCACGTGCAACTAGCGCCCACCTCTAGCTGCGTTTGGCCCACTTTACGCCCTTCTTACCGGCGTTTCCCGGAGCCATTCATCATCGCGCTTTGCCGAGTCCGCTGGGGGCCGTCTGGTCGTATGAACCTCTGACAAACAGGACGCGGATGGGACCCATGGGCTTTCCGCGGACCAGCAAACGAGAACCAGCGCACCTTGCCCCGTCCCTGACCCTGACCCCCAGCCGAGCGGTCAGGACAGGCAGACTAGAGGTGCAGATCAGTCCCGGTCTCCCATGGACCGGCAGACGGGCGGTACAGACCAGCGGACGAGCGGTACAGACCAGCGGACCATCGACACAGGCCAGCCGCGCCCCTGGGACAGTTCGACAGATAAGAGACGCGGACCAGACCCGTCCTACAAATCACCGCTGGCGGCGGAGATTGTGGCCTCAGCCCGTCCGGCGGCCATCGGCTGCAGCAGCAGGCATCGCCTCCCACCCACTACTCAGCGACTTACGACAGAGACGGGGCGGTCGCCAAGCCAGGCCAGCGTAAAACGGTGCTTCGCTGCAGGATATTGCCCACTGCCATTTATCGCCTGACCGTAGCGGTCAAGATATCAACACACGCGGAAATAACGGGGCAAAGCTTTGTGATACAGGCGAGCAAGACGCTAGAACGAACAAGCGTCAAGTCTCATGGTACAGATGCGCGAGAACCTCGCAAACCATATTCCCACGGGGAAGCGGAGCTGAATGTCATCGAAACTGTAAGCGCTGGGAGCGTGAGAAGTCTCGAAAAGGCACCGAGGTTTTCGACACATATCCAGGCCGCAGATTTAACAGTCATCTATCACCACCGCTGGGACGCGGCATCGATTCGCCGAGCCGGGGGGGGGGGGGGGGGGAGGGGACGGTGCGCGCTACTCGGCACCGGCACTGAGCCGCCGGACGGCACCCTCTCCCCGTAACTGCCCGACACCAGCCGGACGGCGCTGCCCGACACCGGCTGGACGGTGCACTCTCCCCACAGCTGCCCGACACCAGCCGGACGGCGATGCCCGACACCGGCCGGACGGTGCACTCTCCCCACAGCTGCCCCACACCGGCCGGACGGGGTCCTCTCCCCGCAACTGCCCGACACCAGCTGGACGGCGCTGCCCGACACTGGCTGGACGGTGCACTCTCCCCACAGCTGCCCCACACCGGCCGGATGGCGCCCTCTCCCCGCAACTGCCCGACACCAGCCGGACGGCGCTGCCCGACACCGGCTGGACGGTGCCCTTTACCCGCAGCTGCCCGACACCAGCCGGACGGCGCCTGCCCGACACCGGCCGGACGGTGCACTCTCCCCACAGCTGCCCCACACCGGCCGGACGGGGTCCTCTCCCCGCAGCTGCCCGACTCCGGCTGGAAGAGCGCGCCCGACTCCCGCAGGCGCAGCAGGCACCTCGCCTGACAGGAGCGCCAGCCACGCCGGCACATCGGCGCGGCACTAATGTCAGCAGTCCCCGGGGCGGCCACGCGCGCCATCAGCCCGACAACCGCGGCGCCGCGACGCTCCCCAGCACGACCCAGTAGCGACGCGGCCCGCACGTGTCGTCCCCCCGGCGCCAGATGGGGGGGGGGGGGGGGCTAGGAAAGCGAAAACACGGCGCACGGCTGGCAGTGAACGGAGCAGCAGCGGAGGAACAGGCAGCCAGTGGACGGAGGAGCGGGAACTAACGCGCCAGCACATGCACACACATCGCCGACCACACTCATTCCTCTCATACAGACAGCCGGGGCGACGTGACCGCCGCCTGACACTCGTCGGCACCCAGCGACAGACCGACCCGGGCCGGGCCGCGCCGGCGGCGGCGGCGGCGGCGGCGGCGGCGGCGGGACGTACCAGCGTGGTGGGGATGCCGACGGTCTCGGCGGCGTCGAACGCGGCCGTGAAGTTGCGCCGCTTGTCGCCTGGCCGCAGCGAGTCGAACGGCACCTTGTCCGGCATGAAGCTGTGCAGCAGCGCGCACAAGGCCATGCCGTCGTTCCACGAGCTGCCGGCAGAGCGCACCAGTCAGCGACGGGCTGCCGTCGGTGCAGACACCCTGCTAGCGCCACCATCACCACCACCACCAGCGTGTTCGTATTCATCAGTTACACAATAACTCGGAACATGACGGGGCTCGGTGAAAAGCCTCTACGGACTGCAGGCGGGGACCGTCATGCGTGGCCGGCGGGGTCGATGCGACACCACACGCAGTTGTTGGCGAGAATGAGCGCAGGCGGCCAGCGGCGGTCGATGCCTCGGCGGTCGCCGGCGCGGACTGCCGGGCGTCGACGATGTGCCGGCCGGGAGCCATACCGCCGGCTAGCGCCGGCCCAGTCTGCCAGCGGAGCGACGGCGGCCGCCGCCCAGCCGGCACCATCACCGCCGGAGCAGCCATCGCCTCTCTCCCCCCCCCCCCCCCCCCGCCGCCGGCCGTCTAATGGGTAGCGCCGGTCAGCCGTGACACGGGCGGCGGTGGCGGCGGCGGCGGCGGCGGCGGCGGCGGCGGCGGCGCCCGGGGCACGGTCGAGGTTATCCGACGCTGACTCGAGGGCCGGGCTCCACCGCCGCAGAGCGAGAGCGAGATGCTCGGCCGGAAGGCCGCTGACACCACACCGGCCCCGGTGCACCACTGACAGCACACCGGCCGGTGCACCACAGACACCACACCGGCCGGTGCATCACTGACACTACACCGGTCGGTGCACCACTGACACCACACCGGCCGGTGTATCACTGACACCACACCGGCCGGTGCACCACTGACACTACACCGGCCGGTGCACCACTGACACCACACCGGCCGGCGCACCACTGACACCACACCGGCCGGTGCACCACTGACACCACACCGGCCAGTGCACCACTGACACCACACCGGCCAGTGCACCACTGACAGCACACCGGCCAGTGCACCACTGACACCACACCGGCCGGTGTATCACTGACACCACACCGGCTGGTGCACCATTGACACCACACCGGCCGGTGTACCACTGACACCATACCGGTCGGTGCACCACTGTGGCACGACGCCGTCACCGCGCCTGAGAAGCGCGTCGATGTTACCGGCAGCAGATGCCAAGTAGCGTTATCGGGACAGGGGATCACGCGAGCCACGGACTGACCGATCACCCTCCTCGTGTGGTTCTGCGACCGGGCAGCGAAGCAATGCGTACCCGGTACAAGGCCAACTGATACATTATGAGATGATCATGGGTTCGCAAAACCATTCCTCTGGACATAACAAATTCCAGCAACGAAAATAACAACGTTTTGTTTGCGGGCCAGGTCGTCCTTTCTGCCATTCGGCATTCTTAAGACATGAAAAAACGAACACGACAGAGAAGCATTGTGATTTGCTCGAGAACGTGTATTTTTCCCACTCGCTTATTTTTCATTTTAACTTGCATTTAATGGTGAAAAATCCCGGCAGTTAACCAGCGTGCGATAAAACGCATTCGTAAAATTCCTCAGCAAACAAGCTGGCCAGGGATTTGGGAACGCCGGTAATGCAAAGACCTTCAAAAATTCAACAAAAGAAAAAACTACCGGAAAGCTCCATCGAATCCATCAGCGCACCCGCCCAGGCGCGCGTAAACAGGCCGGACGCGACCGTGAACAGGCCCGGGCACCGGCCAGCGCGGCGGCAGCAGCGGCCGGTGCCTGCGGCGCCGCGGAGGGGCCGGCCCGCCCGCCGGCCGAGCGGAACTGCGCGCCGGCGGGGCAACGCTGCGACGGGCGGGGACGGCGGCCGGGCCGCCGTTTTTACGGGTCGATCGATCAGCGGTCGCCGTGTCAGCACTAATGGAGCAAGCGCGCGGCTGCCGGGTCCGCCGCCCACCCGGCGCTGCTCGCGCCGCGCGCCGGCCGCACACACCTGCTGAAGTTGGTGATGTCCACATCCCGGTAACCGATCGTCTTGTTCTGGCACCACTTGAGTAGCGCGTTACGCTTGCTGCCGCCGTTTTTGACCAGTGGCGCCAGCGGGTCCTTCTTGTCTGCGGACGCACGGCAGCCGGGTCAGACGCTACCGCCGCGTGGGCGTCCTAACGCTGGGCCTAGGACAGCGGGCGGGTCAGGTCTCCTAAAAGCTGGGTCTGGGACGGCGAGAGGGGTCAGACTTCCTGACACTGGGCCTGGGGCGGCGGGCGGGTCAGGTCTACTAAACACTGGGTCTGGGACGGCGAGAGGGTCAGACTTCCTAACGCTGGGCCTGGGACGGCGGCGGGTCTGGCCTAACGCTGAGCCTGGGACGGCGGGCGGGTCAGGTCCCCTAACGCTGGGCCTGGGACGGCGGACGGGTTAGACCTACGAACGCTGGGCTTGACGAGGAGCCTTATCCGGTGCGATCGGACCGAGCACGCGTCACGGCCAGAGGTGCCCGGCACGAACAGCGTGATTCGGGCGGCCGGGCACGTACATAAGTCGCCGAGATCGGACTGAGGGTCCGTCCTATGGCGCCCGGCGGGACACGGCCGGCACATCGCGGCACCGTCGAGCCGGCCGCAGCACCGCTACCAGGTCAGCGGCGCGATGCCCGGCCGGATCGGGCCGGGCCGGGGCACCAGATCTGCACCCAGTCCGGAGCCGGAGCCGGGACAAAGACTGGGAGCCGGGACAGAGGCTGGGATCCGGGAGAGGCTAGGAGCCGGGACAGAGGCTGGGAGCCGGGAGGGAGGCTGGGAGCCGGGACAAAAGCCGGGAACCGGGACAGAGGCTGGGATCCGGGAGAGGCTGGGAGCCAGGACAGAGGCTGGGAGTCGGGACAGAGGCTGGGAGCCGGGACAGAAGCCATGAGCCGGGACAGAGGCTGGGAGCCGGGACAGAAGCTGGGAGTCGGGACAAAAGCCAGGAGCCGGGACAGAGGCCGGGAGCCGGGACAGAGGCTGGGAGCCGGGACAGAAGCCAGGAGCCAAGACAGAGGCTGGGAGTTGGGACAGAGGCCGGGAGCCGGGACGGAGGCTGGGAACCGGGAGAGGCTAGGAGCCCGGACAGAGGCTGGGAGTCGGGACAGAGGCTGGGAGCCGGGACGGAGGATGGAATCCGGGAGACGCTAGGAGCCGGGACAGAGGCTGGGAGCCGGGACAGAGGCCGGGAGCCGGGACAGAAGCTGCGGGCCGGGACAGAGGCTGGGAGCCGGGACAAAAGCCAGCAGCCGGCACAGAGGCTGGCAACCGGGACAGAGGCTGGGAGCCGGGACAGAAGCCAGGAGCCGGCACAGAGGCTGGGAGCCGGGACAAAAGCCAGGAGCCGGGACAGAGGCTGGGAGTCGGGACAGAAGCCAGGAGCCGGGACAGAGGCTGGGAGCCGGCCAAGGCCACCCGGCTCCGGCCCGACCTGCGCCGCCGGGACGGCCGTCACAGCCAACTTGGCAACGAAAGGCGCGCACATATAACGCACCAACGACCGGCTGAACCACGACGGGCCGTGCACAAAGGCCCGGCGCCAGGCGGCAGTCTATACAAATGTTGCTCGCTTCGCCCTCGCTTTGCCGAGAAGGGACGCATGAGGTAAGGTAGGGTGGGATGGACGTGGAGGAACGTATGCACATGACCAATGACAACAGTGGCCTGCAGGTGAACATATTTTTTGTTTTCTTCCAATAAAAAGGTAGACAACGTGCCTCATGCCCGCGCACCCAGACTACTTCAGAGACCAGAGGCCACCCAGCTCTCCAATATTCTTTTTGGTCCGCAAGCCGCCACCAGAATAACTAGAACATGTTGAAAACTGGAAATCGCTTTCAATAATAGCGAAGCTAATCACGTCCGCAAGAAACGCTGCCAAAAGCAATTATGTACGGCTATTGAGGACGAACCCCTCGAGCCACGCAAACTATGTAAGGAGAGTCCAACTTCGTCCACCTTCGCATAGAGCGTGAGAGAAATGTTTACATGCATGGATTCCCGACCGCATTCACGCAAGCCTACACACACGACCGCTCGCCCAAACTAGTTGGCAGACGGTCGCTCAAGCGGACGGTCGCTCCCACTTGTCGGTCGGCCAAGAGACCCTTGAGCTCCAAATATCACCACGGCTCAGCGAACCCGGTCTACACGGAAGTCTGACTGCCTAAGCGCCATAACCCTAACGCTGCAATTTAAGTTTAACGGAGGCTTGTTTCTTTTTTAGTGTGACTTCGGACTGACATTCTGAGCGTTGTTCCAACTGACGCGCCAGTCTTACAACACTGCAATGCTATACGCGCTGATCTACGCGCTGTGCGACAGGCCGCCCCGTGCCAGTTCGTCCAATCTGGTCCGGCTGGTTGGCGCAGAGGCGGGCGCGTAAACCACGCGAGGAAGCCGCCAAATATGCGTGCAACTGGTGCCCACACCCCACTAGTGCACGACATGCACGCATCCCACCCCACCTTGGGACGCGGTGCGATCTCCGCATTGACATTCATGCTGTCTGACCCACGCCATCTTGGATCTCTGCGGTGAGAGACGCGAAATTTTGAGATTATCAGCTTGAAGCGAGATAAGATGCATATCAATATTTCCGTCAGGCCATTTTACAATTTCCCGAAGATGACCAGAGCGGCCCGTTTCAATTTCGCTGCGTCAATAGATCTTCGGGGCTCGATATCCGTACGGACAATATCGGAATAAAGGAAATCTGCGTCTTGTCGTCAAGTGGCCTATCAACGACGCTTAGCTGTGCGAATTTAAACTACACGTAAGCTTGGCTCAACTTCTACGCCCAAATTGCATGGGCATAATCCAGCGATAGATAGCAGGCTTAGCTGAAGGCCTTCGGAGGCAACGATCAGACGAGGATCAGTTCCGCTCCTCTCCTCTCCCTCCTCCCTCCCCTCTCCCTCTCCCTCTCCCTCTCCCTCTCCCTCTCCCTCTCCCTCTCCCTCTCCTCTCCTCGCCCTCTCCTCTCCCTCTCTCCTCCTCTCCCTCTCCCTCTCCCTCTCCCGTCTCCTCTCCCTCTCCCTCTCCCGCGCCCTCTCTCTCTCTCTCTCTCTCATCCTCTCTCTCTCTCTCTCTCTCGCTCATCTCTCTCTCTCTCTCTCCTCTCTCCCGCTCGCCTCTCTCTCTCTCTCCTCTCCTCTCGCATCTCTCCCTCTCTCTCTCTCTCTCTCTCTCTCTCTCTCCAGCCCATACGGTCAGGGCCGCTGCACATCAGTCATTGGTAACATTTGGTGCGATGGCTAGTCCAGTATTGCCGGAGTCTAAGATATGCTTTCCATCCATGCTGCATGCCAAGTGCATGCCAGGCGCAGTCAAAAGTCCTCTCCGTGTCTGGGTCTGTGTGAGGTCCTCTCCGTGCCCGGGTCTGCGTGGGTCTCTCCGTGTCCGGGTCTGTGTGGGTCCTCTCCGTGTCCGGGTCTGCGTAGGGGTCCTTTCCGTGTCCGGGTCCGCGTGGGGTCACCTCCGTGTCCGGGTCTGTGTGGGGTCTACTCCGTGTTCAGGTCTGCGTGGGTCGTCTCCGTGTCAGGGTCCGCGTGGGGTCGTCTCCGTGTCCGGGTCTGCTTGGGTCCTCCCCGTGTCCGGGTCTGTGTGGGGTCCTCTCCGGGGGAGGGCCGGCCCACTGACCCAGCTGGTCGCCGTAGCTGCTGCGCCGCAGGCTCGTGTCCAGCTTGTTGGCCAAGATGGAGGTGAGCGGCTTGCCCTCCTCGCCGGCCTTGAGCGCCGACGCCTTCACCGAATCTGTCATGCTGGCCTTGCTGAACAGGCTGTCTGCGGGCGCGGCAGAGCAAAGGTCAGGGCCGCAGGACAGGCTCACAAGCCACGCGCACACACACCGCAGTGGCAGCTCTGGGCGCAAAATGGCCCTGATGCCGACGCGCCCTTAAAACCTAAATCACCACCACCAGCAGTGGCAGCTCATATCAGACACAACTTGTCAACCATGGGTGGAGCACAGCCTCTGGCTTCGACGACAGCAGCTTCGCGTAACGAACATCCGACCGCTGCGATCAGACCACCAACCAGCCGTTTCATGCTCACTAACGGCTGACCGACCCACGCAACTGTAAGCGCAGAGCCAAATTTACGCTTCTTGCTAATGGCTACATGCAACGAACAATGCATTGACAAGCAGGTTGTGTCGATGGGATAGCATTGCCACCGGTCATCTGCCATGCATCAACACCGCACGGCACGCACACACACGAAGTCCCAGCTTAAGTTTCAATCCACAGATAAATTCCAAATGTGATCTACAAATAAAACGGTGAAAGCTTTGGTAACCCGGCGCCCTAGCGGTGGGCAAGTGTGCCATCTAAATAGGCTTACTACGTAGCTCGTGCAGCATAAGGGTACAGAAAACAAACTGAAATCATAACCAATGGTAGCAGCAGCCGCGCGGGACAGCCAAACGGATCCGAACTTGGGGATGTTGACTTATGGGGGGCGAACTTCGCCGCCCGAACTCCTACCTCGCTCCGAGCGTAACGCTGAGGGCATCGAGACCACCAGGTCAGGCCAGAACAACACAGTCAGCTCACGAACGCGGAGTCCGTCTAAACTCGTCCCGACACGGCCGGCCCCAGCCGCCTCCGCTCCCCCCACTCGGGTGTCCGTCACGCAGCCACACTCGTCCCGACTCGGCCGGCCCCCAGCCACGTGTGTCCGTCACAAGACCACACGTGGCTGTCCACACGGCGCACGCACACACGCCACACAGAGGAGGCCGCCAGACACTGAGGACAGCGGCCGACGGCGAGTCCCACAGCTCTGGCTCCGGCCTCCCCAGCCCAGGGGAGCCGGCCGGGCTCCGGAGGGCGTGCCCCGATCCCTGGCTGACCCCCGGTGCCCTCACCTGTGTAGCTGCGACCGAAGGGGCGCGGCGCCGGCGCGCCGGGCGCCGCCGTGGCCGGCGCTGCGCTCGGCGTCAGCGGGGAGCTCGCCGAGGCGGTGAGGCGCGGGTGCTGCGGTTCAGAATTCAGGCTGGACGTGGACGAGCTGCGGCTGCCTGGCGGAGAGACACGCGGCGAACCGTCAGACGAGACGGACATCACGCCCCCCTCCCCCTGACAGGCGAGCGGCGGACCGTCAGACGAGGCGGCCGCCACGGGCCACGCCCTCCAAGCAGGCACGCAGCCTTTCACAGAACGGGCAGAGAGCAACCCCGCAGCTGGGACAAGTCATTCAGATGCTTCAGTTTTATTTTGTCGTAAAAACAAAGAGATGTCAGTTTTCCCAAGCTCAGGAAAAACACCTACTTCAGACAATGCAAAGTTTCGTCTCGCCATGCCTGCATGACCCACCCCATATTTCCTGCCGCCACCCGTGGGGGGTTGATTACCACATCGAGCCCGCTCCGAGTAATGCCCGCAGCGAGCCCGGGTCTGCTGACAACCCAGGCCTTCTAAGAGCATAACCGTGGGCGGGCACACTCAGGCGCGCGTGCTCTGCTACATTAGAGGACGGCAGGCAAAGGGACTGACCGGTGGTGCATAGTTCAAGGACACATTCGGACGCATTTTAGCCTAATTGGATGCAGTGCCGACAGACAAGCGCTCCGCGCGTGGAGAAGGCCGGCATTCTGTCCACTAACCTGCTGAAGGCGGATCGATAGACTGAGCACCAAGGCGAGCCAGAGCCTAACGATCAAAGCTTGGTCCGCACATCAGCAAGACTAATGCAGCACAGCAGCGTACCCATTAGAGACGGTCGCCTAGTGCGACAGACCAGCCAGGCCGTGCTTGAAGAGCCCAGGGCTGCCCTGGTGAAGCCGCGCCGGCCTGTCACGCTTCAGACTGGGAGCACGGCATACTCGGCACCCCTCCCACCCGGTGTACGCTGTCACAAATTTCGCAAGCGGGCCAGCCAGCGCGAGCACCGAGTACCCAGCGGCCCAGCTCCGTACCCAGCGGGAGCAAAACCGTACCCAGCGAGAGCAGGGCCGTACCCAGCGGGAGCAGGGCCGTACCCAGGTGGATCAGGGCCATACCAAGCGGGAGGAGGGCACAGCGGCACAGTTCCGAGCCCGCAGCGGAGGTGAGTTCCTCCGACATCCAGCCGGGTCGATGTCTACAGCCGCTGCAGCAGGTGCGCGGGGCGTGGTCCGCGGGGGCTGCGCGCCCGGCACTCTCATCTCCCCGGCATAACTGACTGAGGGGACAGACCGCACATCTCCAGCCAACCACGCCCCCTCAACTCCCTTCCCTTCCGACCAGGCCTGCAACCGTGGCCCTGCGGCGGGCGCGGCCCTGACCCCTGACCTTTCCGTGCAGACGCGCCCGAACCGTGCCGTGGGAGCGGCTGGCGTACATCAGCTCTGAGAGCCCAGCCGAGCGTCGATGCTGCGAACGGAACACCCCGGGCGGCGCCGCGCTGACGGCGGCCAGCCCGGCGAGACGGCCATCTCCGGACATTCAGCGCGCCCGGCGGCCGGCCACTACCATACGAAACATGCCATACTTGCGGAGCCAATGGGCCAGGCATGAGTCAGATGTGAGGTCATAGCGAGGGCTTCGAGGCTCTTCGAACAGCGTCCCTGGTAGCTTGCGACAGCTTAACGAATTGGGCTTATCAAAAGGCTTTCTAATTCTATATGCATAGACCAAGCGCAAAATCTGATCCCAAAAGGCAGCTTTGCAGATTCAACAAACCGGGACGGACAAAAATAGTGCCGCCGTCTCGGATTGGCCACGGTCGCAGCACTCTGAGTTTAAACACTGACAAAATGAGCACGCCACTGTCGGATACGCGCATCTCACTGGAGCCGCGCTCGGGCTTCAAGTTTGCGACGTTGTCAACGCGTCTACGCGAAACTCCCAGCTCCCGCCAGCGAATAAACCATAGATCGTGCGTAGACTTACTCCTAACTTTCCTCAAAGGGTTCTTTCCAGTGTGTCTAATCGCTTCAACGGGGCCTTTTGCCGCACCCGGTTGGCTGCGACTCGGGCTGGCCACTTCACACGTAGCTGGCGGGACCACCGTGGACCGGACGGTCCCAGTGAGATGTCCGTGGCTGGAGCGTGTACTTCCGTCCGCCACGCCACTTCTGGCCCTCTCTAAGCGTCACCGGCTGCTCCAGGGTTGTCGGCACGTCCACGCATCGCCGCCACATCGTAGACCGGCGCCGCTGCCGGCGCCGCCGCCGCCGCCGCTCACCTGCTACGTGCAATGCCGGAGGGTCTCCCCGGAGACCGCCCCCCCCCCCCCCCACCGGGCAGCTCCCTGGGGCGCAGGATCCGACACTACGCGCCGCCGCCGCCGTCGCCGCCGCACTGACCGGCCTTGGCCTGCTTGTTGGCCGACTCGATGGTCTCGATGAGCGTCTTGACGCTGAGCTTGCTATCCTGGCGCATAAGCAGACTGGGTCGGCCGGGCCGGCCGTCCGCCGGCGACTGCACGGCCCGCAGCGGGCGCCGCTCGCCCGACGGAGAGGCCGGCGTCGCCGGCGGCGGCGAGGCCGGCCGCGCCGCCGCCGCCGCCGCGCGCGCCTTCTCCAGGTCGGCGGTGAGCGTGTTCACGCGCTCGCGCAGCCGATGGTTGTCCATGGCCATCTTCTCGACGTGCTCCTGCGCCTCGGTCTGCCCGAGAGGAAGCGTGCGAGGTCAGTCCACAGAGAGGTGACGGGACGGCCGCACCCGCATGCACAGCAAGGGGCGGAGCGGCCAGCCACATGTAAATGCGACATACACAGCCGGGCAACAGCATAGCAACGAAGGCACGCAAACGTAAGGGTGCAACAGGCACCGCGGTGTCGTAAGACTCAGCAACGGCATACGTCACGATACAGAAAAGGAGCTAACGACCAGCTTGAGGCAACTGAGGCAAACATGAGTGTAACTTGGTAGACAAAATATTGCGGGAACAACGTAAGCGTTATTATTTGGACAGCACGTTGGCGTCTGTAACGATGCGAGGCTGGGTCATAAAACACAGACGCCGAATCTGACGAGGTGCGGCACCATAACTGATAGGGCGGCAGCTCACTGCGACACTGGGGCGCACAGCCCTGCATTAATGCGAAGTCTCTGGCCCCCCACGTCCCGGAATTGCCGGCAATCTGACGGGCCGATAATCAATGTCGGCTCATAACACCGGCGTCCGCGTCGGCCGCCGCCCTGGCTCAGCCCCTGCCCCTTGCTATATTCGCCAGCACCCCAGCCCGAGGCCGCTATATCGCAGCGATCCCATCGGCCGGAACGTAGCTGTTGAAACAATTTCCAGTTACGATACCGCACCTGGGGCAAAGCCGTCCGTTGGTGTGATCTACGCTCACTCCGACTCGGCACCCTGTCCCGAGCTGTGAACTCAGTGAACCCCCCCCCCCCCCCTGCCTCCTTCCATCAGATCCGCCACGCTGAAGTCGCAGTCAGAGCCCATACAACCGATCAGCACACAACTCACAGCTGTGCGTAACTGTCCTGTTGGCTCACACGACGCCGCTCCCAGCGCACCGGCTAGGAGACTCATCTCTGGTACCTACCAGTCTCTAAAGTGGAGCACTGGGCCCACGCGCGCCAAAGTCACGGTGATATCCAGGTGCGACAAATCAGCCCGACCCCCAGACCCACGGTCAGACTGACACGACCAGTGGACCAGCTGCACCACGTGACGGGCATGCGAACACGAAGGCCCGGCGGTTCCAGCAGAACGCAGACCTGGCGCAACCGAGCAGTGCAGCCAAGCCCACCACATCCGACCCCAGCTAACTGACGGAGCGAAGCTCGCCAGAACGCTACTGAATTATTGGGGCCGCCTTTCACTATTTACCGCTCATCTCGAGCGCCGAATGATGCAGCACCCAGGCCAGCGGCTGAACTCCCGGCCAAACTGCGTCCGAACTGGCGGCCGCCGGTGTATGTGGGGCCAGTTCGGAGCGAGTTGAAGCTTACGCCTTCAAGCTTGAAGCATGTGACATTACAAACACGCGTTAGTTCTGTAAGTCATTTTACCCAGTGACATTCGGATGGATATTTGCCCTGCCACTCAGCGATACGATACGACCGCTCCGCGCAAGGTCAACTCTACCGTATTTTATTACTCTGAACATGTCCGCGCGGCAGTGGACGCAACACCGAAGCCCCGTGTCCTACAAAGCCAGAGTGAAACTTATCCCCTCTAGCCTGGTCTCCGGACTGCACACCATTCACTGCCGCGTCAAAAACTAGCGCCGAGTGTGCTAGTGAATGGAGGGGTCGGCGAGACAACTGGCCAGTCCGCTGGGCGCCATTGCACGCCCACGTCATGGCAGAGCCGCACGTCTGTGCCACGGCCGTGCCGCACGTCTGTTTCACGGCTGCGCAGCACGTCTGTGTCACGGCCGCGCAGCACGTCTGCGTAACGGCCGTGCAGCACGTCTGTGCCACGGCCGTGCAGCACGCCTGTGTCACGGCCGTGCAGCACTTCTGTGTCACGGCCATGCAGCACGTCTGCGTCACGGCCATGCAGCACGTCTGTGTCACGGCCGTGCAGCACGTCTGCGTCACGGCCATGCAGCACGTCTGCGTCACGGCCATGCAGCACGTCTGTGTCACGGCCGTGCAGCACGTCTGCGTCATGACAATGCAGCACGTCTGCGTCACGGCCATGCAGCACGTCTGCATCACGGCCATGCAGCACGTCTGTGTCACGGCCGTGCAGCAAGTCTGCGTCACGGCCATGCAGCACGTCTGTGTCACGGCCGTGCAGCACGTCTGCGTCATGACAATGCAGCACGTCTGCGTCACGGCCATGCAGCACGTCTGCATCACGGCCATGCAGCACGTCTGTGTCACGGCCGTGCAGCAAGTCTGCGTCACGGCCATGCAGCACGTCTGTGTCACCCCGCGACAGCTGCACGATTAGCGACACCACGCAGCAAACACGATATCCATTTCAAATCAGCTTATCATAGCTGTGGACACCACGGAGGCGATCATCGCACTGTCACATTATCCGCCTTCAACAATTTCGAAGTCCCCCGGGCCCCCAGCAGCTCGACAAACGCACGAATTTGTCACGGGCGGAGCAAAATCGATGACTTACTGCAGCGGCACCGTGCAGATAATTCAAAGCCGGACAGGCTTCCGTGTCGAGACGGTCACCGGCAGCCGCTGCTCTCGTGATGGATGGAGGAGGGGCGTGTCCCCAACCGGCCCGCCTTGAGCGCCGTGCTGTCTGCAGGGGTGCAAAATCCAACCCCGGATGTGGCCCATCGCCCGCGGGCACTTCCGCTTCTACAACTTTGAGCGACCCAATCTCCATCCCTGCCCTGGAAAATGCCTGTCGGCTTCAACTTGACACGTGACACGAAAACCAGCGCGGCTATCATTCCTGAATGGCTTTCCACGCTGTTTGACAAGTAGTTCCATTTCTCGGCCAAATACTCTCAAACAGGGACGAAGGCGGACCGAACATTGCAGAAAAGCACCATAAGCGTGCATAAACTTCCAAGTCCAAGATGCAACGTTGGATGCATTTGAGAAAACCAGCGCATGCTGTCCGCAGTGCAGGCTTCCTGCAAGGATACGCGTTGGTGGGGCGATTCCCAGACTATTCCAGGGGCATTCAAACAAGTTCCGCGGATTTTCCAGTTACTGATTACCGGTGAGCAGCTCACGGTTATAACCTGGGAAAAGGTTGGATGAAAAGCTGTTTGGCCTCTCGAAGTAGTCAGCGACTGGGTTCCTTGATTTATTTTCATTCGCAAGATATACAGTAAAGACATAATTTATTCCGATCTAAAGCCCTGAGCATCAATGCTCCCCACATCAGGGACATGATAAATGGTGCCCGTCTAGACGCAAAAAAGGCTGCCTATGGCTGTGGGAACCGCCCGGAAGACGGGGAGGCCGGCGGCATTCAATCATATGATCGGATTCGGGGATTACATACGCCAACATACAACTGTTCACGTCGGTCGATAATTCGCTGGTACCGGCACCAAAATTACCAAGTGTAACTTCACCGGTCTTAAGACAAACTACCACCGTGTAGAGTTCAGCTTCCCATGTGAAGTTTAACACTTAACGACGAGTGTTCAGATTTAAGCGATGGTCGGGTCGCGTGATGGCAGGTACCCAATCGCTGTGCGTGCTGTGAAATAAAGCAGTGATCATTCTTTTTTTCTACGGAGCAAACCCGTTGCAGACCGAGCCCATCCCATGAAGACCAGCCACCACTTTGAGAGCCATGAGAGCAGTTTCAGCGTCCTCTTCAGCCGCGACGAACTCCAGTCGTACTGGGGCCACAATGTCCGGACACGGGGCCTCGTTCACACCGCCAGACAGCTAGCTCAAATATTCGGCGTTGATAGACTGTCCCGCCCACTTAAATGTGCACCAAGTAGGCAAAGGGCTCGTACAGTAAGGCAGTGTGGCTAAGCCTGACGTTTTATTTTCACCCAGGCGAGCCCCGGGACTCACATGAAACATCCACAGTAATAGACCACGTCTTCTGAACACGTCGTCTCGTTTGTCTGCTCACGCTGCCAGCGTGCCTGTTGCCCGCCCAGGTCACCGCCGTCTCCGGCTGAGTCGGTACCGCCGGGACACGTGCCGGGCCACGCGCCGCCGCCGCCGCCGCCGGCCACCTACCCTGAAGTCGTTGGCGACGCGCACGGACATGAGCAGATCGGCCTGGAACTGGGCCCACTCGTCCGTGTCGAGCCGGTGCTTGTCAGCGGCATCGGCCAGACTGGCCTCCAGCTGGCGCGCCGACTCCTGCAGCTCGGCCACCCGCTTCTGCTGCTCGCTGAGGCTCGCCTGCGGGGCACCGGGCCACCGTCACCGCCAGACGCGGCGACGGACCGCGGCCGCTGACGCTCAGCACTGGCGCGCGCTGATACCGACAGCAGCCGTCACAGCACGGCACAACACAGCACGACACGGCACTGTGCCGCGCACGGCAGGCATAGCCGGCGCTGCACGCGGCCCACGGCATTCGTGGCCCTAGAGCATATTTTCTAAAAGCCTGCTGCGACGACAATTTGGACCTGCGGGCGTCAGCGCAGCTAGGCCGTACAGCGCCCAAGACGACTGCTACAACACAACTAAACCGTGCGGTGAGGCAATTCGCCGAGAAGAGGTCGATGCGTGCCAAGGCGATGCTGAATTGTGACCATAACACACACATAATGTACAAGAACGCCCGACTAGCCGCCCACACATGTCTGCAAACAGACCACTATGTTACCGACTGTGTCCATAACGCGCATCTCACGATTAAGAACAACGTACAAGAGCAGCCATAATGAGCTATCAGCTGTTGATCACTCCCTGACGCGCCGAGACCCTGAGCCTGAACGCGAACCTTCAGTTCTCGTTTATCCTCCAGATGGCTCTGACAGGTGGCCTCCAGCTCGTGGATGGTGTGCTGGAGCACCTCGGAGCCGGCAACCAGGGCGTTTTTCTCCTTCGGTTAGCTGATCGTACCGGTACTGGGCGTCACTCAGCTCCTTCTTGGCGTTGTTTTTGGCCACCTGAACGGAGACGGTGACGTTAGGAGAATCGGTAAAGTCAGGAGAGGCGGTGACGTCAGCAGGGGCGGTGACGTCAGAGAGGCGATAGACGCGGCGCGTTGAGATCCGAGCGAGCGACTGCGGCGGCAGACGTGCAAAGCAAGGGGGGAAGGGAACACGCGGTTCGAACATCCGGGACCGGGACTTTCAGTTGATAGGTTAAAATGACACCCTAATGACCAGTATAACCATGCTGTGGGCAAGGCCGGGCAAGCCAAACGACAACGCGTTTCCGGTCTCAACGGTATCAAACCTATGAATCATGATTTCAAGCCTATCTGTCTCAGTTAAAAAGACTCAGCCTTGTTCCCCTGCTGCAGCCGACCCACCCTCCCGTGTTACCGTGCAGCTGCAGCCGGCCTCTGCCTTGTTCCCCTGCTGCAGCCGACCCACCTTCCCGTGTTGCCGAACGGCTGCAGCCGGCCTCAGCGTTGTTCCCCTGCTGCAGCTGACCCACCTTCCCGTGTTACCGTGCAGCTGCAGCCGGCCCCTGCCTTGTTACCCTGCTGCAGCCGACCCACCTTCCCGTGTTGCCGAACAGCTGCAGCCGGCCTCTGCCTTGTTCCCCTGCTGCAGCCGACCCACCTTCCCGTGTTGCCGAACAGCTGCAGCCGGCCTCAGCCTTGTTCCTCTGCGGCAGCCGACCCACCCTCCCGTGTTACCGTGCAGCTGCAGCCGGCCCCTGCCTTGTTCCCCTGCTGCAGCCGACCCACCTTCCCGTGTTGCCGAACAGCTGCAGCCGGCCTCAGCCTTGTTCCCCTGCGGCAGCCGACCCACCCTCCCGTGTTGCCGCACAGCTGCAGCCGGCCTCTACCTTGTTCCCCTGCCGCAGCCGACCCACCCTCGCGTGTTGCCGTATAGCTGCAGCCGGCCTCAGCTTTGTCACCTTGTTCTCCTGCTGCAGCGAGGCCACCAGCTCCTGCAGCTTGGCCAGCTCGCACTGGGCTCGGCTGAGCGACTCTTGCAGATGGGCGGCGCGCTCATCCACGCGGTTCTTTTCCTGGCGCACGGCGTCCAGCAGCGCCTCCAGCTCCGACTTGTTGTTGGCGGCCTGCGCCTGCTGCAGCTCGGCGATCTGGAGCAGAGGGTACCGACCAACCGTCAACCGACAGCGCTGCCTCCACGACGGTACCGGGTTCTGGCCACCAACAGCTGCTCGTGAGGTTGGTGGGACGCGTATAATGCGACACAAGATAAATCTGGTGGAAACGGAATTTCTCGTGTTGTTTATAGGTATTTTATGACGCGCCGATGACATCCCTTTGATGGATACCGTCACACAGCGCAGCCAACTTGGTACTGGCTCTGCGGCGCCCAAGCCAACAACTAGCGGTGCCTGTATGGAACCGGCCAAGAACAAGCATCGGAGGCGCGCCGAGCATGGCGACGCACTGAGCGGGCCCGGTCGCACCAGCCCGGCCGCCCGCAGCGGGCCACCGACACTGACCTTGCTGTTGGCGCTGTCGAGCAGCTCCTTGACGCGCTCGGCCTCGATCTGGCTGTCGGTGGCGCGCTGTCCGGCCTCCTGCAGCTGACTCTCCACCTGGCGCCGCTCGGCCGCCGTCGCCTCGACCGTAGACTCCAGCAGCCGCAGCCGGTCGAGCAGCGCCGCCTGCTCGGCCTCGTGCGCCGCCTGGCTACGGCGCATCGCCTCCAGCTGCTCCTGCGCCGCGTCCAGCTTCGACTGCAGCGCGTCACGCTCGTCGTGGGCTCCCTGGCGGACACGCCGAGACGCCGGTCAGTGGTGTCACGGGCCGCTCGCTCCGAACACGACACTGGTGGGCGGGCAACGCCGCGGGTAGTCAGTGTCTGTGCCCAGCCAACTGAGGGGTCCTGCTCACTGTGCAGCTCTGAGCCAACTGAAGGGTCCTGCTCACTGTGCAGCTCTGAGCCAACTGAGGGGTCCTGCTCACTGTGCAGCTCTGAGACAACTGAGGGGTCCTGCTCACTGTGCAGCTCTGAGCCAACTGGGGGCCCTGGTCACTGTACAGCTCTGTGCCAACTGGGGGCCCTGCTCACTGTACAGCTCTGAGTCAACTGAGGGGCCCTAACACCGGTACAGCTCTCGGTGAACTGATGGGGCCCTGCCCACTATACAGGTCCGGGTCAACTGAGGGACCCTTTTCACTGTACAGCTCTCGGTGAACTGATGGGGCCCTGCCCACTGTACAGGTCCGGGTCAACTGAGGGATCCTTCTAATCGTACAGCTCTAGGTCAACGATGAGCCCTGCTCATTGTACAGCTCTGAATCACTGAATGCATGCCTTCGTCTCTGAGACTTAACTTTTGGGACACGGCAGGCGAGCGCCGCGTCTGCGGCAATCGTGAGATATAAGTGGGATCGTGGGCAATCGTGCTATAATACGATGGTGTTTGCTTCGCGATTGGTCGGCACGCCAACATGCGATAAAACAAATCCCTCTTCACCATCGCGTTATAAATCCAACAGTTTCATTCAAACAGTTCCTGGCTATATCACTGCCATCGGCCAGCGAAGTTTGAGGCATGGCGCCTGTCACACTGCCACCACACACATACCAGCGCAATGGTCACAACAGCCACCCGCACTCTCTTGTGTTTAAGTGCGTGCAGCTAAAGCTTCATCGGCCCACCGTTCATCCCACGGAGTGGAGCGGGAGTTCCGCTCCAGCCCCACCGAGCGCGTCGGTGGAGATGTGGAACCACCGAGAGCGTCGGTGGAGGTGTGGAACCACCGAGAGCGTCGGTGGAGGTGTGGAACCACCGAGCGCGTCGTCGGCACGTCACCCGCCACCGCCTACCTTGATCAGGTCCTGCAGCATCACCTCCCGCTCCTGCAGCTTGGGGCGGTCGGCCTCCTCCTTGATGAGCAGCTGGCGCAGCTGCTGCACCTGCTGCTTGGAGTCCTCCAGCCGCTCCGTCTGCTCGCAGAGTGAGTCGAACAGAACGTCCTTCTGCTCCACCAGCTGTTTGTTGTCCGCCTGCAGGGCGGCCAGCTGGTCCTGCAGATCTGTCAGCTCCTGCAGCGTCGCCTGCAGCTCCTCGTTGGTGCTGTGGTGCGTCTCCTCCATCTGGTTGATGCGGTCCTGTCGGAGGGTGGGCGGCGCCCGGTCAGCGGATGCGGCTGGGACGCCGCCCGCCGGAACGACGTGCCGCTGGCGGCCTAGGTAATGCAAACGCACAACACGGTTTAAACTGTGGTAAATATGGACCTTAATGATATGGCTATGTAAGCGCTCTAAACCAAGACATATACAACTATAAGTGAGACTATGCAACCTGCAACGCGGGAAACATGAAAGTTAGTGCTACTGATATGTCATCAGGAACATTGATGACGCAACACTTCGCTGTCATGACGCACTACACACACAATGATTGATCTTGTGTATCGTGCACGCAGGAAATGGTCTCTTGTCAAGATCTTCGAACTGTCCCATATGTGCAGCTCTGTGACAGCTTCAGTTGCTGCACCATGGTCTTCCAGATGAAGGGGATGGAGTGGTGAGGGGGTGGGGATGGGGACTTGCCTGCAGATCAGCCACGGAGAACTCGGACATGGACGAGCTGGACTGTTTGTCCCAGTCGGCCGGCGACGTCACGGCCAGCAGCTCCTGGGACGACGACGGAGCCAGCTCGCGCCCCTTCTCCTGCCCGGCAAAGGTCACGGGAGTCAAGTGGACGCTCAGACGGAGGAACAGACGGAGGAGCCGATGGAGGATGACGTGTATGTAACGTGGGTGACACGGGGTTGATAGGTCACATGGTGCATCGCATGAATTCGATGGAAGGTCAGATGGACAATCAGACGGTGGGCCAGACGGATGATTCAATGAAAGGGGGGGGGGGGGGGAGGCAGATAGCAGCGCGTCGCGTCGATTTCCTAAGGTGCGCGTCACGACATCCACCATGAAACGCGGTCCGCCAGCCACGGAACTCACCGTCGCGCCAGCACGACACCATCACCTAACACAGCTGAACCAGTTACGTAAACACACGAGCCAAGACAATACATTGGTTCGGTAGACGACATGGGTCAGATGCCAAGAACACGAAAGGTCAAGTAGCAACCGGAACAGTCCATGACACGGTTGGCCGGTCCCGTCCACGCCTGCACCAGACCAGGCCAGGCCAGGCCAGGCCAGGTCAGCGGTCCACTGCCCGCGGGCTGCGGTCCCGCCCGGCAGCGCGGCCGGCCGGTCCCGTCCACGCCTGCACCAGGCCAGGCCAAGTCAGCGGTCCACGGCCCGCGAGCTGCGGTCCTGCCCAGCAACGCGGCCAGCCGGTCCCGCCCACGCCTGCACCAGGTCAGGTCAGGCCAGGTCAGCGGTCCACGGCCCGCGAGCTGCAGTCCCGCCCAGCAGCGCGGCCGGCCGGTCCCGCCCACGCCTGCACCAGGTCAGGTCAAGTCAGGTCAGCGGTCCACGGCCCGCGAGCTGCGGTCCTGCCCAGCAGCGCGGCCGGCCGGTCCCGTCCATGCCTGCACCAGGCCAGGCCAGGTCAGGTCAGCGGTCCACGGCCCGCGAGCTGCGGTCCCGCCCGGCCGCGCGGCCGGCCAGCCCCGTCCATGCCTGCACCAGGTCAGGTCAGGCCAGGTCAGGTCAGCGGTCCACGGCCCGCGAGCTGCGGTCCCGCCCGGCCGCTGCGGCCGGCCAGTCCCGTCCATGCCTGCACCAGGTCAGGCCAGGCCAGGCCAGGTCAGAGGTCCACGGCCCGCGAGCTGCGGTCCCGCCCAGCAGCGCGGCCGGCCCCGGCACGCCGTCTCACATGGCAGCTCTGATACACGCTCCGCTCCGCTGACACCAGCCAAAATATTGATGCCTCGTATGACGCCGGCGATGACAGATGCAGCTCGGAGAAGCGGCGCCCACCCTTGTAAACGCCCGTGATGACTGCTGGATTTGGAACAAGGTAAACATCGGCATTCTACATAGCTGACTCAGCCAATACAGGAAATCCGTTTCCGCCCGTATCCTCGCAAAACATGGAGCGGGGTGTGTTTGACGCCAGTAATTTAAGCAGCCTCGTTTCTCCGTGGCAGCTAAATAAACAGGATCCGCGCGTGGCTCCGGCTCGGGCAGACCTTGCATGCGATTGATAGTTATGATGCTGCCGGCGATCGGGCACCTGTCAATAACCCGAACCCCCCCCCCCCCAATAAATCTCCAACTGAGAGAACCAGCCATCCCAATGGACAGAGTATCGCAGTTTAACGTGTCACGCTACGGACGTAACACGTTTAGTGTCTCTAGGGTGGCCACCAGACCATGGTCTCCACCCGGGCCCCTGCTACTCCAACGGGCCCATGTCGCATCCCCTCCCCTGTTGCAAGCCTGTGCAAAGCCAGCAGTGCCTGCGCCGCCACTGAGGCGTCGCACTCCCCTGTCGACAGCGACCGAGCGGCCACCGCTGACCGAGCGGACCTGCCTGACCCGCCGCCGCTGCTGGCATCCGCTGCACCACAGGCACCGGAGCCCGGCAACGACGTCCTCACAGTGACAAGGTCGACACACACCAGCCGCCTGTCTCGGTAGACCGGCCGCGAGCGGCGCCGCGCACCGCACCAGCATCCAGCTTACATCTCCGACGATGGAGGCGGGCGCCGAGCAGGAGCAGCGCAGCCGGTGGTCGCGCAGCAGCTGCTTCTCGGCGTCGCTGATGGGCGCGCCGGCCGAGTCGCCGGTGCGCTGCAGCAGGTGGGAGCGCAGCGCCTGGTTCTCCGAGCGCAGCCGCTGCAGCTGCTCGTCGGCCGGCCGGCCGGCGGCGTCGCCGCCGGTGCCGCCGTCCGCCGGCGCCACCTGATCCTGCACGATACGGCGGCGGCGGGTCAGCGTGGAGAGACGACTGTGACGTGTCATCACAGGGAGACGACTGTGACGGGTCACCGAAAACGAAACGACAGCGACGGGTCACCGCGAGAAGACGACAGCGGCGGGTCACCGAGAGGGAGACGACAGCGACGGGTCACCGCGAGGAGACGACAGCGGCGGGTCACTGAGAGGGAGACGACAGCGACGGGTCACCGCGAGGAGACGACAGCGGCGGGTCACTGAGAGGGAGACGACAGCGACGGGTCACCGAGAAGGAGACAACAGCGACGGTTAACCACAGGGAGGCGACAGCGGCGGGTCACCGAGAGGGAGACGACAGCGACGGGTCACCGAGAGGGAGACGACTGCGACGGGTCACCGAGGGGAGACGACAGCGGCGGGTCACCGAGAGGGAGACGACAGCGACGGGTCACCGCGAGGAGACGACAGCGGCGGGTCACTGAGAGGGAGACGACAGCGACGGGTCACCGAGAAGGAGACAACAGTGACGGTTAACCACAGGGAGGCGACAGCGGCGGGTCACCGAGAGGGAGACGACAGCGACGGGTCACCGAGAGGGAGACGACTGCGACGGGTCACCGAGAAGGAAACGACTGCGACGGGTCACCGAGAAGGAGACAACAGCGACGGGTCACCGGGGGGAGACGACAGCGGCGGGTCACCGAGGGGGAGACGACAGCGGTAGGTCACCGAGGGGAGACGACAGCGGCGGGTCACTGAGAGGGGACGACTGCGACGGGTCACCGAGAAGGAGACAACAGCGACGGTTAACCACAGGGAGGCGACAGCGACGGGTCACCGAGAGGGAGACGACAGCGACGGGTCACCGAGAGGGAGACGACAGCGACGGGTCACCGAGAGGGAGACGACAGCGACGGGTCACCACGAGACAACAGCGAAGGTTAACCACAGGGAGAGGCGACAGCGACGTGTCACCGAGGGGAGGCGACAGCGACGGATCTCCGAGGAGAGGCGACAGCGACGGATCTCCGAGGGGGGGGGGGCGACAGCGACGGGTCACCGAGGGGAAACGACGAAATGCATTACAGAGGGGACACGACGGCGAGATGCATCACTAAGGACTGCACGGCTACAGCACCCGAAGTGCAGACGGCGCAAACACGGCCTCGAGCCAGAGGTCACACAGGCAGCCGCTGACTGTGTATCAGACAGGTCTTCGTGTTGGACTGCACCCACGTTGATCCGCATGTACCATCATTCAATGGAAATTTGAGGCGTTTGATCACGTTTAAACTCCCCTGAAAAGTCCGTGTATCCATGCCGTGCGCACTTCGTACTTTGTTCGAGCGATACCTAGGTCTTTTCCTCAACGTTTAATTTGTGTTGCCTGCCAGGTGAAAAGCCACCATGGCTGTGGATCGCTGGTGGGTATCCATCTGAACATGAGTGGGACAGAGCCGGGAGCCGTGTACACCGGGCGCGCGTCATCGGTCCAGCTAACGGAAGCCGGTCCAGCTAACTAGAGGAAGCCGGTCCAGCTAACGGAATACCTGGCGTTGTCATACAAGGGGCGTCACGGAGGGACGAAGTGAGACGTGTCGGAGGGGTACAGAGGGAAATCGCCAGACAACTCGAGAATCAGCCGGTGGCTGTGCCCGGCCGCGTGCGCGTGGGCGGCGCGAGGGCGCAAGCCGTGCCAGTGTGCCAGTAAACCGAGCCGCTCGTATTTGGCCGACTTTCTTCACATGAAATACTTGTAAACAGAGTGCATTCCCAGATATCAAAACATGGACCGCTGATTCATCTGATGCATGCTGCTTTGCATTCCGTGCTAACCTAGGAGGTGGGCGTCGGCGGTGCCGGCGATCGGTGGAGGCTGCCTGTCCATGTGAACACCGCCGCCGAAGCCGGACGGACGGGCGGCTCCGTCCCGGGCCGGCACGGCTGGTGGCGCCGTGCCGTAAACAGTCACGGCCCGGGGCGCCTCGGTCTGGGGCGGCCGAGCGCGCCACTGAATCAGCGCCGGCGCCGCCCGCCCGCCCCCTCCCCTTATACGGCCGACACGCGACGGGGCGGCGTTACTCAGCGGCGCCGACGGCACGGACGCGACGGAGCCGGAAGGGGAGGAGACCTGCCTGACGCCGATACACCGCCAACTCCGCAGATCATACAGGCAGCTCCTCACGGCCGGTTTGGAACGACTAGTAATTGTCTCGTCACGCAACGGACACAACATTGCCAGCTGCAAACGGTCCGAACGTGGCTGTCGGGTGTTCGGTCGATGGTAAGGCTCCGGCGGCGAGGGACGCCGCCGTGACTAGACAGCGAGCGCGGTGACTCAAACCGATCCACACTCCAGCATTGGCAGCGTCAGCCAATACGCTGCTGACCGTTTCTATCTGACACGCCACCCCAATGGTGCTCGCTCGACCCGAGCCGCCCCCCACACGCGGCTCAGGGCACCGGGCCCAGCAAGTCGTCTTCCGCCGGTCCGGCGGCCATCACCAGGCAGCTATCGGCTCATGTGCTGTCACATCCTGATGCTACAGCACATGTGCCGTTACAAATAAGCCATCATACATTCCGATCGCACGTTTACTACGGTTGGCTCTGCGATCAGCATTCTAAGCAACCATAGCTTGTTGCGAGGATATTCCCCCTAATTTACCTTAACACGCGCTCGGGTGGGGGTCAATTTGACCCCCAAGGTTTTCCCGGAATGATTTCCGAGCGGCGCGCCGTATCCGCGCCCAATTTTGCATAGCTGCAGACAACTGAACAGCGAATCTTTAATGTTCAAAATCTAGATGCGCCATGGAAGGTCCCTGACCTATGGAAAATCAGTCAGGCCATGGATTCAGGTAATTTCCCGGGAATCCTTCAATTTGATGCAACTACGAAGTGTTGGACAAAGCCATACATCTCTGAAATACTTTCTTAGGCCTATCATCAAGTATAAAAGTCACACCAAGTTCAAAATCAACGTGATGCTTTTTGCTCGGGGGCTTGGTGTGTGAAATAGCTTCTGGCGCTCACTTTAAATTTATCAATAGCAGGGAGCGCAACACGCGTGATTCATGAACTTCTTGAATGTCGGTATGGGTCACTGACCTAAGAAACCCAGGTCAACACTTTGTTTTTGGGAACATACTCCTTTGCGTAATCCTTCACTCTTGTTCAAATGCAATAATCAAAGCATACCTGCATGAATTTGGCCACCGTGACCTTACAAAGGTCAAAAAAGGCCGCTGACCTTAAATGAGTACCAGTGACTTTTTGCTTGAGGCAGACATCTAGGTCACAGCGGTTGCATAAAAAGGTCTGGGAGCACTTCCGACACTAATCTGGAATGACATTGTGTGAGCTTATTTGACCCGGACGTTATGCCCCAGGAACCTCAAGTTTTGACGCAAATGAGTTCACATACAGGCCAACAAACCCTTCACATTTTGTGTCTCTAGTACCCTTAGTTTTTTTAGACCTCAAGGGGGAGTTTCAAGTGACCACATCACCGGAGGGAAGGGTATTCAACCGGCCACCAAGGGCGCGTGCTAAAACGCTGAATCTCCCCCAGGTAAATGGTAAAGGAGGATGTCGGGACAATTCTGTTCCACTTCCCTCCATGCGCCATACCAAAGCCTCATGCTAAATATTACGAATCGCCGGGCCGCCACTCCCCATTACGTGGTAATTCTAGCGCCCATGCTCCCACTCTAGAAGCCGTCGTGCATATGATTTGGCTCACATGCTTACGCTCCGGTGCGGTAATGCTAGTTCAACCAGTTTTCCCTTTGCCTCGTCGGCCTATTGCAAAATAGAGCAAAGGTCGCCTTCATGCAAAGTGCTTTGCAACGTCTTGTCAAGCTCCGTGCCAACCTGACCATCTCATGGCTAGCTGCCAGTTGAAAGGCTTTGACGAGATAAATCATGGCCGTCTATTTCCGGGATGGGGGACCAGACGATCTGCCACACGTGTGGTCAGCAGTCCGGCGTTGTGCAAGCTGAGATGCACCAGACGGCTCCGCACAGTTCAACACAGACGCGGACATGAACACGGCACTCCTGCGCTCGCCAGCGCCGGCCAGTGCAGTTCATGGACGGCCTCAGGGCTGAGACGCTGGCGCTCGTTTATGCATCCTTTAAAGCCGTCAGTTGATGTTTGGCCTCTCCCATGTCGCGTCGCGGACGGAGGGCCAGCACCATCCGCGGCCGCTCTGACCACGACCCGACCACACGCTGAGGTCAGCCGCCGACCAGCAGCCAAGCAGCATCTGTTTTCGCTCCCACCGCACACTGTGGCAAAGACGACGCTCATGATAGTAGTGCTTGCCAGCGCGGCGAGCCCTCGGCTCTGCAGACAAACAGCCCGGCCCCGGCTGGGAGCAACGGCAGAACTGCTGAGCGGCCGCGGCCCCTGCTGCACAGCATGCACGGGGTCAGGCCCGCTCGCCGCCGACCGACGCCGGGCGGCAAGGTCGGCGGAAAGGTCAGACGGTGCACCGCCGGCGCCGCCGCCGCAGCCGACCCGTGCTGGGGCGCCGGCTCCGATCCGACCCGGCTGCCGGCGACCATCCCGGCGGCTGCGCCTCAGCCACGCTGGGCGGCGACGCAGCAGCATCGCAGCACCAGGTCCGGCACGGCCGCGCAGCGGCGCCGCGGCCGGGGCGCCGACTGCGTCACACCGGCTCGGCCATGAACTTTCCTCAGCCCGACCGGCGGCGCCAACAGCGCGCGGCACGTGCACGGGCATACGGCGCCGCCGCGTGCCCTCGGCTCGGTGTCGGGATCGGTCGGAGCCGCCACACGGCTGGTTGCCGGCCGCCCTGTGTGTGACCGACTGGCAGCTGTTCAGTTCTTGCAGAGCACGTGTGGAACATGCAATGGTAGCAGTGATAGACAGCATGATAGCAGCATTCGAGCAAAAGCGCACAAAACCACGCCGGTATCGGCGCCGCTGCCGCTATCGTTCGTTGGCGGTCTGGAAGGTGCTGCGCGCCGTCTACTGACACCGC